GCGGGTCCGCCGGTGGGGGTGGTGGTGGTGGTGGTGAGGGTCCCGGTCCCCTGCCCGGTACGGGTGACTCCAGCGCCCGGGCTGCCCCGGGGGAGCCCCCAGGCCCGGCGGCCGCTGGCAGGGCCCGCCTCTGCCACAGGGCCCCGCGCCGCCGACCCTGTGAGGAGAAGCGAGCGGGAGAAGGCCTGACAGGAAAAAAGGGCCTTCGGGTTAACGCTGAGGGGAAGGGGGTTAGAAGGTGCTCTCCCCCGTCCCTGGCTGTGTGGGTTGGGAGGTTGGTTGTTTTTTAAGGCCCTGCAGCCTTAAAGGTTACAAGGAACCCTTTGCATGTTTATGCAAAGAAGTATGTCTCCTTTTTTTTTTCCTGTATGATTGTACTATAGAATCACAGAATCGTCTAGGTTGGAAGAGACCTTTAAGGTTATAGAGTCCAACCATCAACCTAACACTGGCAAAACCACCACTGAACTGTGTCCCTTAGCAGCACATCTGCTGTCTTTCCAACACCTCCAGGGATGGTGACTCCACCCCTTCCCTGGGCAGCCTGTTCCAATGTTTGACAACCCTTTTGGTGAAGAAATTTTTCCAAATACACATCCTAAACCTCTCCTGGGGCAACTCGAGTCCGTTTCCTCTTGCCTGTTATTTGGGAGAGAGACCGACCCCCACCTCTCTACACCCTCATTTCAGGTAGTTGTAGCGAGTGAGGAGGTCTCCCCTCAGCCTGCTTTTGAGTTGGCATGGATCGTTTCTCTTAAATCAGAGTTGGGGAATGATCTCTTGACTGAATTCCCAACTTTCACTAATCTTGCCTTCCCTCCAGCTTAGTCAACTGAAGCTGGGGACAGTCAAAAGTTTTTTGGTCCATTGGAGCTCTGTATCAGACAGTTGTGGTTGATGTTGGAAAGCAGATAGTCATGTATACCCATAAACTAATAATACAGAAGTGCTGTGGAGTTATTACCTCTTTTCCTGAACTGTATAATGGTAGAGGCTACTGAAAAAGGTGACAACTGAAGAAATAGGAAAAAGACATGTATTGGTATCTAAACAGAGGAATTAGTGACTTTGGTGGAGGCATGTGTGTGTAAATCACTGTGCTGTGTAGTGAGGAAATGCCATAATTTTATTCACTTGAATTCATTAAGTCAAAGTTGGCGCCATCCGTCAAGCTGAGGTGTTTATGTTACGCTGGTTAACTTCCACTTTAAATGAAGTTACATATAAACTGGGAGCATTTTTATTTGTTTTTCATATTGACTATATTGTCTGCCACAAATACGCTGTTTGTCTAGAGCTGTTAGTTCATAATGGCAAAACTGTATGCTCTGGTACAACTTCACTTGAAACTGAGAACATTGAAATAAATTAATCCAATTTTTCTTCAATTCCATTGGCAAGCATACTGGCTAAAAGGGTAGGATATCTCTGATATTGGGAAGCAATGGTTAAAACTATCTTACGGATTTAAACCTGCTGGTCTCAAGACAGTTCTGTTTGGTGGGCATCCTGTGAGAGTAGCTGACAGATATTTCATGTATTACTCTTTCCCAGATGGCTTAGGGAGCGAGAGGAAGGTTACCTCAAATATCTGGTTCAAGAGTTTTCTTAGAGCATGAGCATAAACTCTTTTTTTCTCTCTCACCCACGTTCTCTTTGGGTGCTCTTCCAGTGGCTTTCCTGTAGGCTTAGTCTTAGATGTGTTGAACTCTTCAAATACAGAGCCTGCCAGAGCAGCTGAGAGCTCTGCTCAGTCTTTGGAAAAAAGATAGGAAAAAACATCATTTCTCCGCTGTGAATGCCTCCAGACCTCTTACCTTGTGCTGCCTGGCTGTCAGGCAATGTAGTTCCCTTTAGTTCCCCAGCCACCTCTCTAGTTTCCACTCTACTGTTTGAAATGTGCAGTCTTCTTATTTTTTATTGCTGTTGTTTTTACTTGAATAATAGCAACTTGTGTTAAGAGGAATCTGTCTGTTTCTGCAATAACAGCTGTTTTTAGATGAGAGATTTTTACATCCCTTTGCACAGGTAACGTACACAAGAAGCACCCCCTTTGCCATGTGATGCTACAGGTACTGCTTGTTGAACTGTTGTGCTAACAGTGAGTAGTCCTGATCCTTGTCATCAGTTTAGTGGATTATGATGGGTTAGCAGAAGTGGGGAGAATCTTTCTTGCCTATTTTCTGGGCTTTCTCAACCAATATTGTCCTGTGATAAGTGCTTGCTGTTTACAACACCAGCTCTAGGTGCTGTGGAGAACAGGTGTCCAGTGGCTGGCTGTTAAATTTTAGTCACAGGTGTCTTTAAGCTACCTTCTTCTGCGTACTCTGTGACTACTCTAACTTGTAAATCTGGTCAAACTTTAGCGAAAACAGCGTGAAAATATATCAGCGAGATCTTGGAAGCTTAATTGCAACAGCAAGTTTCTGCTTCGTAGATGAGGCAGTTGTACCTCTAGTCAGCCAGATCACTGACAGGATTGTATTTTTAATATTGAATCAGTGTATTAAGACTGTACAGAGAGATGCTGGGTTTGGGTCCAAATCAGATTGCTTTAGCATTGGTAGGACTTTATAAATTGGTAGGAATATTATAAACTTTGGGTTTTGGGTTTGTTCTTTTAATTTTTTTTTGTTCTATGCTCACCTTCTTTCTTCAGCTCTGTCCAGCAGTGCCCTAACACAACAAATTCATTTTCATTTGAAGATTTTGTTAACTACGCAATGAAAAAAATGTTTCTCAACTTTGAAAGCCATTCTCTCTTTTAGAAGAATCTTGGTCTCCTTGGGACCTTGAGGGTTTTTCCCCCTCAAATGAGTAGTCTGCTTGATATTCAGCTCACTTCTTCCATAGACAAAGGCAGGGTCTTTTCTCCCTTCTCTAGTTCTTCCCAGCTGAGCTTCATGTTAATCAAGCTTGGTGTTCTCTGCTTGGCACAGAGTTCAGTAGTCCAACCTGTGATTTACAGTGTTGCAACCGTGCAGTGTGTCTGCACTGGGCAGAGCACTGTCATCTCCTCTTTATTAAATGACATTTGTCTTTGTGGAGAGTGTATTCATCAAATCATCTCAATAGCAGTCTGTCTTGTGGGTCAGCAAAAATGGCTTTGGCAAAAAAGTCACAAACGGTCACCGGGGATCCTACAAGGCTTGAAAGGCCTGACACCACAAGCATTCATTCGCTTGCTAAGTGTTCTAAAAAGCATTTTGTGTTCAGCTGGAGAAGGGGTTTGAGCTCCAGGTCCCTCTTAGGTTCCTTCCCCATTTCTGTGAAGTCATACACGTCTTCTAGTCAAATTAATGTGAAACTTCCTGAAGCATTTATCATTAGATAAGGGACATTGGCAAGATCTTGGAAGCTTAATTGCAACAGCAAGTTTCTGCTTCGTAGATGAGGCAGTTGTACCTCTAGTCAGCCAGATCACTGACAGGATTGTATGTATTTTTAACATTGAATCAGTTTATTAAGACTGTACAGAGAGATGCTGGGTTTGGGTCCAAATCAGATTGGTTTAGCATTAGTAGGACTTGGGAATATTATAAACTTTGGTTTTTGGGTTTGTTCTTTTAATTTTTTTATTCTATGCTCACCTTCTTTCTTCAACTCTGTCCAGCAGTGCCCTAACACAACAAATTCATTTTTTCTTAGAAGCATTTATCATTAGATGAGGGATGACTTATGGATGTGATCTACCTGGACTTCAGTAAGGCCTCTGACACGGTTCCTCACAACATCCTGCTCACCAAATTGGAGGGATATGGATTTGATGGGTGGACTGTTCAGTGGAAAAGGAATTGGCTGGATGGTTGCATCCCGAGGGTGGTACTCAATGGCTTGAAGTCCAGATGGAGAGCAGTGACAAGTGGTGTCCCCCAGGGGTCTGTGCTGGGACCAGTACTGTTTAATGTTTTTATCAATGACATAGACAGCGGGATTGAGAGCACCATCAGCAGGTTTGCAGATGACACCAAGCTGTGCGGTGGTGTTGATACACCAGAGGGACGGGATGTCATTCAGAGGGACCTGGACAGGCTGGAGAGGTGGGCCCAGGTGAAACTCATGAGGTTCAACAAAAGCAAATGCAGGGTTCTGCACCTGGGCCAGAACAGTCCTCGCCATCAGTACAGACTGGGGGACGAGGCATTAGAAAGCAGCCCTGAGGAAAGGGACTTGGGGGTGCTGCTGGATGAGAAGCTGATCTGGGGAGAAGAGGTACATAATTCACCCCGAGGAATGTGGGGCAGCGCAGGGAAAGAGAATGGTTGTACTGAACTTAATTATGTAGCAAAAGAGACGATGCTTTCTGTTTGGTCAGACCATCACCTTCTTTTTTTGATTTTTAGGCTGGCGAAAAGAACAAATTCTGCTATTCTCTACTGTTAATCCTAAAATATCCAGAACTGTTTGTCAGCGTCAGATCCATGCCTGTCTCTGCGCTGCAACTGCTGAATTCCTCATGGTTCTCTTGTATTATTCCTCTCCAAACAGTGAGGCTAGTTTGGGTTGGGTTTTTTTGGGTTTTTTTTTTTAATTCTTTCTTCTGTGACTAATTTGTCTTGGCTTAGATAGCCCTCTTCTGAACGTTTAACCTGACTTCTAAGCCTCCAGGCGTTGTCATAAATGCATGTTGTAGCAACCAGAGTAAGTAGGGTAAATCCAAGCACTGTGGTGGATATATCTGAGGTTTTAGGTGGAACTGAAGCAAATATTTTTGGATTCAGCTAACACTGGGGCTTTTTGGTTTTATTTTTATTTTTCTTGAAGCCCTATTCCACCTCTGGAGAAAGTAATTTTTATTTTACTGTTTATGTAAAACAAGTACAAAATTTAAGAAATGCACATGGGTTTATGAAGAATTGGATAATGTCATCAGAGACTGTCAGAATGGATTTCCTGTATTTAAAATTGTGCTGTTTAGGTAATATATTGAATACATTAACACTTAGTTGATCTCTATTATCCATTTTTAGGAACAGATGTGCAGTTTAGCAGACAAGCATGTGGAATTCACTGCAGCCCTTTTCAAGATGGTTCTTCTTTGGAAGAGACAATGTCTGCTTTGAAATTTCTGTAGTGTCTTTTTATTAAAGGAGAATTTCTAGTAAGAGATACCATTCGGTCTGCAATAATAATGCCTCCTACTAGACAAACAGAAGCAAATCTCTGCGTATAGTCTGCTAAGGATCATTTATTGTAGAGCACTGGCCTCTTTGAAACAAGTAAGGGGTCTTTGTATCTGCATTAGTGAAAATAAATAAGGTAAGAAAACTCTTGTAAGTACTTCTCTACTATATGTAAGATGATAGATGTATAGAAATATAGATGATATACATATATGAGTATTTGCAGGACTAGAGGCTAAAAATTTAAATAAATTCTATTGAAAACCTGAAAATGAAGGGAAAAGTGAAAGAAAATGTCATCATTCAATACAAACTTTGTTTTTTGCAGAGGCAGCAGGAGTGTGACTCGCACTTACACAATCAGCAGCTGGAAAAATGCCAGGTTCCAAAAGTAACTTGGTGTCTTTACATGAGGGTGTTACAAATGATACTTCATATTTGAGAGAAAAGAAAATTTCGGATGAAAAAGGATCTGTTGAGAAAAGAACAATGACTCTGATTGAGAAGAATGGCTATCACGACTCCGTATACATCAACGCAGCTAAGATTTTTCAAGGCATTCATACTAAAAAGCTTAAGGATAGAATATTGGTGCGCTATGGCGATGACTCAGTATCTCCCATGCTGACTGTTAAAAATCAGTCTTTCCTGCGTATATCTTATGAACTGGCTTTCAATGCTCTAAAGTGTAAGTATAAAACTTTTCCAAGAATTGCCAACAGAAATGATGCAGCAGAGAAAATACTGAAAAACAAAGTGTTTAATTTCTGCCTGACAGCAGAGATCTGGGGTTTTTTTGTTAAATTACAGATCACTACTAGACTACTTGTATCCCTCAAATATTTAAATATATCTAAGTGTTGTTAGCATTTTATGAAATCAAACATTTAAACTCTATACTTTTTAATATAAAGGAATTACACTTTTTTGGAGTTGCTACCATTTGTGATTCAATTTGTCCTTAATTTTCATGATGGTTAAACTTTCAGATTTTTCTTTAGTGATTTATAAGTTTTTCTTTTTCTTCCATAGATTCCATAGTGTAACTTAGTATTCTCTTTTTTTGCAGATCAAGATCTTCTTGAAGAAGTATTGTTAGATAGTTGTGTTTACCCCTGCCACTCAATAGTAAGTAAATACTTTTGTGAGGAAATAAATCTTGTATTTTCTGAGTTGATGTAATTAGAATCTTTTAGAAGAAAGAAGGTAGGAGACTGAACTGCTTATTGCAGTGTAGTACTTGATATGATGTTTCCTTCCAGGAGCTTTTCTTCCAGCTATGTCCCTTTGTGAGTGGGGAAGAAAGTTGTGTTCCCTTGCCATTCCCGGGAGATGTGATCTAAAAGATCTGATTTTTGTCTTGTTTTTGTAAGGAAGCGAGACTTACCTGTTAACATTTTGTGTTTGGTGATAGTTCCCTAATAACTGGAGTTTTCTAGCTAATTTCAGTCATATTTGTGAGAAGGTAAGAATTTTCGAAGGCATAAGAACTGTAGGAATTTCATGAAAAGAGGTAGACAAAAGTCACTGAAGTACTGTTAATTACTGTCCCTAAGAAGGAGGTGCTCCCTCTTTAAAACATTTAGACATGAGAAGGAGATTTTACGTATGTCCTAACTGCAGAATGGTTATTGTAGCTGAGCTTATTGGTTGTTACATACTGAAGAATCCCAGAAGAGACAAATTGATAGACAAGGTGTTTTTGTTAGCTTAGCTATTCAAGAAACTATTTTATGAGGAGAAAACAATTTCAAAGTTTAAATTCTGGTAACATTAGAAGTTTTTTAGATACAGTATATTATCTCCGTGTGTGGAAAATGTTTTAAATTTTGATAAGCTAAATAACTTCTAAGTTGTGTGAGTTTTTATAAACTTCACAGTGTTTTTACTTTCATGTTCATGTAAATAAGCATTTCAGTCGTTTTAATGCCTCTTACATGGCATGTTTGATCTGGATGGTTTTGCAGAGGTAAGGTGTGCTTTGTGTCACCTTCTCCATCCAGCTGCTTTTCTGTTGCAGCCAGAGGAATTAACCAGTTTGCTTGTTGTGATGCTTTATGACCTACAAGAGCGAAAGTTTCAAGCACGAGAGATTTTTGATGAAGAGGAACCTGTAGCAGAAGTTCGGAAAATAGAGCATTATCTATACAGGTATACATGCTGAGAACTTTTTGTTGATATAGATTAGCAGAAATACAGATTCGTGTAACTGATGCCTTTCTAAAATAATTGTCACTATTACAGGTGTCTTTCAGCTTCAAATGTTGTGGGCTTTCTTTTTGTTTTTAATGAGCACCTAGTTTGTAGGGAAACTTTTGTATTCCTATTGTTAAAAATACAGCTAACAAACCATCTTTATTATTGTGGATGGTTTTTCTAGAAAAAGGTATCTTATTTTGGAGTTGTTGAAACTTTCTCCATAAAATTTTAGAAAAGAAACTAAATACTCAGTAAACATTCATAAATATTAGTGTAATAGAGTCGAGTGGTCATGGAATGGAATAATATCCATTTATTTAGGAATACTGCTATTATGAAACTTGGTTAAATATTATTTTAAGTAATTAGAATTTTAAAAGGAGGATATGTAAAATAAACATTTTAAGTAGTCGAGTATTTCTTTCATCGCTCTGTTGATGAACTCAACAGGCATTTGTTGGACAAAATTGTGTTGCTGCTGGATTTAGAATAGCCCAAAAAGTTAATGAATATCCTAAGAGTAAGGTATTCCTGTAGGGGAGTAAGTAATATACCCTGACATCTGAAGTAGCTCACCAGCAATTTTTATTTGCTTTGAGGAATAATGTATCAAAATTATGCATAAAGCTTCTGGGAAGAAAAGGCTGGGAATATTTCCTCTGAGATTTTCAGGTAATAATAATAAAACTGACTCCTGGTTGCCATCTTACTGATGTTGTTTCTGTAGACATTTAGAGGTCAGCTTTCATCAAATGCTCATTCTGCACTTACATGTATTTGTATCTTGAAACATACAAAAAAATCTGATGATTGTATTTCACAGGTTGCAATTCCAAAACATATTTGCTTATTGTTTTTTGCTGAAAAAATTGATGTATTCGAGAGTCATCTGTCATAATTCCAGTCCCTTGTGCATTTTAAGTGAAACAATGTTAGCTTTGTACTACTATCTTGCATCTACTGTTGTCTGAGATAGATAGAAAATGTCCGATAAGTGTGTGTTTTCTGTAGCAGGTTGCAAAATGAGCCCTTGCTTTTGGTTTTGGCTTCTGAGCAAGAGATGTAATATAAATGTCTATTACAATAGTTCTATGCAATATTTCTAAAACTTACTGAACTTGTGATTTATGTTTTTATAGTTTTAAGACCAAGTTGGCAGCTGCACTAGCAAGATGTCGCATCAAACATGATGCTCTTTCAATTGAATACACTCTACCAGAAGCCATACAGAAGCAGGTACAAAGGGCTTCTGCTTTACCTTTATGTGTTTGGATAAACACATTTAAAATCAGGTAAGGTCTTTAAAGTATCATCTCATACTGATGGTTTCACCTGATATGGTTTACTACACACTTAAGGGTTTCCAGGTTATATTATTACCAATAATTTAAGTTTCTTATAGTAAATTCTGCTTAGTCCACTGACATCGTGTTGTGTGTGTTTGTGGTTTTTATATATTGCAGTAATGGTATTCCTAAACTGTAACAAAGTTGTGAAACAGTTTTCCTTACTATTCTGTTGCTTGTGTGGGTCTTTCACCAAATAAATGAGGAAATGAAAGTAGAAAAAAACTAGATGGGTGAGTAAACTTGTGACGAAAAATATCAGCTGAACCTGTTACCTATTTTGTTACACAGTTGGTAACCCATTTTATTATGTTTTCAAGAATTTTGTATTCATACTTGGATATCTTAGATAAACTGTGCTTAGGTTATGGGCTCTTCAAGGTAGAGAAGGTGTCTTACTCTGGTTGAGATTTTGCAACCCTTAAATAAGACTAAGCTAAAAGCTGCTGTATTGATCCTACATTTAATGTACCGTAAAAGCCTGTGGCACTGTCTGCAACAGCATTTCAACACACAAGTCTTTGTGTATATACCTTTAAATCTTTATTATATTTGAATTGCAAGCCTCAGCATGTATGCCTTCATTACATTTACACAAGGATTATTTCAGTTATCAGCCTTTAAATAAATGGCGAGCTGGGCTAAATTGGAAGCGATTGAAAGAACTAACCTATTCCAGCAGTAAATTTGCCACAGTGTCTCCCGAGCACATGGACGTTTATGTTTTGATGCTTTGAATCATCCTCTGGAGACACATGCCTCTTTCTTAATTTATTTTATCAGACTCGCTAACTTAATTGTTTCAAACCAGAGCTTACATGCCTAAAATAGAACGAGTTCCCCTCCTGCATTAGACAGCATTGCATGTTATATACATCTATATATACAAACACACTAATAAAATAAAAGGCAAAAATTTGTATAATCAATGCAAACTATATTGCTTAAGTAAGTGCTGTATATTTAATGGTCAGAGTTGTATGTTAACAGCCTTCAAGATGTTTTTGGAGATTTGAAGAAGAAGGGATTCACAAGAGTTGAGTCTGTGTCAGACTTCAACCGTTACACGTACTGTATGGACCAACACTGCAATGATGTACTGCTTTTCCCTTCCTTTCTTAAAGAAGAACTCCTTAATTTAGACCTTTTTGCAGATTGTAAGCTCTTACTGCAGGTGAGTTGATGTCACCCTTGGGCAATATGATCTGCAAACTAAAATAAAGCTTTGTGTTAGAATGAGGTCACCTATTGTGTGACTGTCCTATTAAATCAGTCAGGCAGCAACGTACTCTCAAAAGGTTTTGGATGTTTTTAATAATCAGGTTAGAAACTGATCCACTTAATAAATTTAGCTTGCAAATGTTAATGCTTATAATTGATAGCTAAAGTTAAATTAGCAAAATGTTTTAACTTGAATCTTAAAACTGTTGGAATAAACATCAGAAGTGGTCAAAGAGGCAGTCTGAAGAGATGAAGAAAGCTCCTCTGTAACTCTGCTGCATTGCCCCCAGTTAGTAGATAATGGTGTGCTAATGTTATAACATCTCTTCCTCCTCAGCTGCACATTTCTTTTTATTTTGTGCAGTGTGGTTCCTAAATCTCCATAAACCCCACTGTTTTTTTCCTGACTTGCCATCCTGAGTCTCTCCAGGCGAGGTTGGTTGGAGGTTCCTGTTGTAGGCTGGTGGCTTGGAGTCAACCTGCAACAACACGCCACCACAAATGACCTAAGGTGTCTGATGGTTCTTGAGTGCTTAGCAGAGGCATTTCAAAGGGCATTTTCACTTAATGCTTTGCATTTTCTGGAAATCTTAGCCTGAAAATTTATTACCCAACTTAGGAAGTAAATCTGAATATCTCATTTCAATGGTATATTTTGAATACAAAACTTACGGAGAAGAACCACAGATGACAGCCACATAAGTCACCAGAACAAATTCTGAGTAGTATTACTTAAGAATATTCAAAGTTAGGAAATGGGACCCCCAAAAACTCCATCTCTGTGTGGTGGAGTAGGGTGGTACTTGAGCTGTGTTAATAGATATGTGGACATTAATGTGAACTTAAAGGTTTAGCTTTTTTTTTTTTTTTCCTTAACACCAGTATTTGCCAGATTTCGTGCAAAACTTGGTAGCCATGGCCCATATCTTCACTCTTTGTCTTTTTAAGTAATTTGTTTGAGAAAATATTTGATACGTATCTCTCTCTTCAGCATCTGTAGTATGAGATCACTTACTCTTGTTGTGCTTTCTGCATTCAAATCTGCCTCAGTGTTCAAATTTCAGCAAAATCTTAGTTTTTGATCTGTAAAGGCTTCATTTCTCCTATCATTATCCCCAGGAGCTCTGTGAATAGTTCTGCATTTCTCTGTTGAACTGCCTCTGAGGATGAATTTTGCATATTGTGGCCTATATTTGTCTTTTCTGGATCTGGCTGTCATTAAGAGTTCCTCCTTATGGGGATGATATGCACTTCACATTTTACCTATAGATTTTATGCTTTCTTACGCATTAGAACTAAATTGTTTAAATTTAGTGAGTTTAATTTATTTAATTCTGTATTAGCAGCTATCTGTGATTAGTTTTTCTCCTCCCCTCTTTCTGTTTGTCATGAAAACAACAGAATACTTTCCTCGTGGGGAAAGGCAGGTTGGCACTCACAGAAACTGAATTAGTTGACCATGTTTAATTTTGTGTGATTATTTTGTAGGATAAGTCCCGCAGCCTTGCGGTGCACTCTGCACGGGCCCTGCTGAACGTGGGTGATGACGTTATAGTGGCTCAGGCAGGTTCCCATCTGACCATTGCCCATATGTCAGCGCTGACCATTCACAGCACGACCAGAATTTTTGTTTGCGGGGTAAAATCTTCAGGAAAAGCAGCTGAACTGAAGAACTTGTTCGGTCAGATGGGATGTAAAAGTAGGTGTTAAAATGGGTTGGTATGCACAGGGTATTGTAATGTAGATATTTGCGATATCTTTAATTACGACACTTGTGTCATGATTCAAATATCTCATTTGAGGCTAGTAACAACTTTTTTTGTGACAAGGTGAACTGACAACTCCTCAGTTACAGTCAAGTTAATGAAAGGTTACAGACTAATCATAATAGGTGCAGGCTCCTGAAATGTCAGTGGACTTTTCCATATGAGTAGTTGCTTTATAATGGTTGGTGTAGCTGGGAACTTTTAGGTCCATTTATTTGGTGTTTTGGCTGTTCCTTTTCGGCCTGATTTTCACCTCTTTCTGAAAGGGTTAATCAAAACCACGTGCACTTCTCTGGCTTACCCAGAGGACACAATTGGAACAGAATACAGCAGGACTCTGGAACCCCTTTAGCAGACTTTTCAGTGGAAGACACTAAGGACTAGTCCTTCAATCCATTTGGAATCAGTGGGAGATACTTTTGGTGGGCCTAGCTTTATGGAAGCTTGTGTAACACCGCAGTCTCTTCACTTTTATCACGTTAAAATTAGACAGGCTTGCTGAATTTTGCCTAAAAACTTTTGAGTTTTTCCCTTTTTTTCAGATATTCAGTTGATAGACGAAGACTTCACTGAGATTGAACCAACAGACTCAAGACTTCAAAATGCAAAAGTTGTTTTGCTGCTACCAGAGTGCTCTGGGCTGGGTGTTGGCAACCCAGTAGACTTCATTGTAAATGAACAAGGAGGTAACTTCTGACACAAGAGCTTGCTTATATTTTCTGGCAGAAATAGGATTCAAGTCTTGTGGTCTGGATGCTGTAGCTGCTTCAATAAATTATATAATTTTATAAAATATTCTTCCTTTTAGATTTTTATTTTAACTACAATAAAATATATATTAAATAACTTGCATAATTATGTATATGCAATGTACATGCAGGCTACTGTAGAAATATAAAAGAATAAATAAATTACACAGGTGATTTTTCCACATAAAGCGAGCAAGAACGTATTTGGCTGAGCTTAGGATTCTCAACAAAAAACAAAATCTTTCTAGATGGCACCAAAGGATTAGGAGTGTTTGTAAAGGTGATTTCGAGTTGATAGCATGAAGTTTGAGGGTTATTCTGGGGAGCAGAGCGTATATAGCCTTCCTTTTAAAGTAAAAAGAATAGAGGTAGAAAATGTGTTGCTTGAAACAAATGAGTATATACAGTTTTCCCCTGATTACATTCCTTTATTGATTGTATAAGTCTATTCACTGTACAATTTTCATTAAATAGAAACAAAAAAAAGGCACTATTAGTTACAGGTAGAGAGAGAAAGAATAATAATTTAGGCATTCCTTGGTATTCTAATTCATAAAACCCACTTTCCCACCACACCAGCAATAAATCGGTCTGTTACCAAAGCATTTTCTGCAAACGACTGAATTTTAAGACACACAATAAATTTCTAACTCTCTGTGCTTAGATGCAGGATTGCTAAGAGACGTTTTCCAAGGATCTGTATCCCAGGATAAGCTCAATGCTCTGGCTGAGCGGCAGCTTCGTGACCTGATGCACGCCATGAAATGTGAGTGTGCGAGCTCTTTGACTTCTGGGAACACCTCGTGCTGGCAAAATCCCACTGCACTGCCTCCAGGTTTTATATAGTTAATCATACACTGATTGTGCTATTAGTTAACAGTAAGGCTGTAATCACACCTCGAGTTTAAAGGTGTAGCTGTGTCCTCGTATTCACCAGCCATTACTACAATAACCTTCAGCAGTGTGTAGAGAACTGGCTCAGTCAGACCCTGCTTTGGAAGAGTTGTAAATGCAGCCTGGCTCCATCTTCGTGCTGCTGCTTTCTTCCCCCCTCCTTTGGCAACTGTGTGAAAAGACTCTGTATAGCCTTGAATTTCTGCTGAAATCAGCAAAGATTTGAAAAGATTTTAATTATTAAAATGCAGTAGAGATTGAATACTAATGTATGCAGGAGGACATATTTTATTGGTAAAAATGACACCCAAGCATAATTTTAATGCTGGTTTCAGTCCTTACAAAATCACTGTGTGTATGAAGAATTTGAACAGTAGAAAATTTTTTTTTCTTTGTTTTGCAGTTACCAAGGTACAAGCTATTGTTTACTGCACTTGTTCGGTTTACCCAGAAGAAAATGAACTAGTAGTGAAAAAAGCACTGGAATCTAGAGTGGAAGGAAATAAACTACAACCGTACAGGTACGGAATAAGTAGTTTTGTCTGTGGAAAAATTAAGTATAACTTTAAATTGTAACATAATTCTTCTAGGCAGATTTGTGTCTTGCATTAGAATAACATTTAAAACAGTTTTTTGCCACCTCTCATTTCATTCCTTTCGATGTTACGAGAGTACTATGTAACATCCTTTTGACTTTTTCATCTAATATTTTTGTTGCCATCTGAACTAGAGATGGGAGGAAAGCATCACTGGTTGGAAATGACATTGTAGGGAGCTTCTGAGAGAGCTATGGCTTTCATCCCATTGGCATTCAGAGAATGAAGCTCGTTTAGGGTCAAATGGAGACTAGGAGAGTTACACTGTATTTTTAGATTTTATATTATTTTGGGTGATGATAATGACTTGGCCATTGTGGAGAAAGGTACCATGGCTCAAGATATCATAGAATCATAGAATAGTTTGGGTTGGAAGGGACTTTTAAAGGTCATCTAGTCCAACCTCCCTGCAATGAGCAGGGACGTCTTCAACTAGATCTGGTTGCTCAGAGCCCTGTCAAACCTGACCTTGAATGTTTCCAGGGATGGGGCATCTACCCCTCTCTGGGCAACCTGGGCCAGTGTTTCACCACCCTCATTGTACTTCAGTGTAGTTAAATTTTGTGTGATTAAAAATGGTAAATGTTAACTGTGGCAGTTCCAAAGGATTTTAAAAATAGGTATGTTATGTATGATATTAAGAGACAGTACAAGAAAATGAATCTTCTTGCAAATCCCCGATAGAAAAGAGCAGCCTGCTTGAATTTTTACACTAAATGGGATGAAATCAGGGTGTGTCTTGCCAATGATGCTCTGCTTGTCCAAAAGCATTTAGGGACTCCTGGAAACTGTGTTTTCCTTTGGGTTTTGAAATTTGTGAAGTCTGTCATGTCTTGACCTCTATGCACCTATTACTCTATGGGGAGAACTAGGGGAACCTTGGGACATAATGGTCTCCGAATTATTTGAACATGAATAGTACAAATTCATGATAAATACAACAGAGTTTGTATTAAAAAGAAGTCTGAGATATTTTTTTTTTCTGGAGCTTTAATTTTTTCAGGAAAAAATTGCCCCTTTTCTAAAACACCTCCCCTCCCCCTGAAGACAACCCAAAATCTATTACTGTTTTGGAGAAACACGAGACTTGTCACACCACCAAAGTGTACTTTTACTTTCAAATACAAGGCAGTATCTGGTAGTAAGAAAGGGACAATAAAATTACATGAGGATTTTTGCAGACCTGAGCAAATTTGTGACTGAAGGCTGATGGAACTTCCTAAATGAGGATTCCAGAATCAGTTCCTCCTCCAGTGTCACGTGGGTATTTTCAGTCGTAGTGCTTGCTACAGTAAAGCTGCTGGTAACCAGCATAAACAGAGCAGTAATATAGAACTCCATAAATAAAATATATAGTGTGATTATGCTTGTGTTAAGATGAAAGCTCAGGCCGTTTAAGATGCATGTGTTACTTATGGCAGTTCCTTGTACACTTTCCTTAGAATTAATTAGGTAATTTATCCGGCTGAAAGAATGCAGGATAGAATGAAAAACTCTGTTGTGGAGTTACTAGCCCCCATGTTCACAGTAGTGTCTTGGAGATGCAAGTTAGTTATACTAATAAAGCATCCTGTGATGTCATCACAGATCTACTTAATATTAATTTCCTTTTTTGGAGAAAATACAGGGCTTTCAGGAAACTGTTAGGCCAGTTGTGTTTATGGGTATTGTAACTTTTGGAATTACTCTGCAGTGTTGCTGAAGAAAATAAGGCTGTGCTGGAGTTTGGGGTTGTAGAGCTGGTCTTAGGGCTGTGACATCGTAAAGGTGGTTTCAAGCACGTCCCCACTGTCTAAGCTGAGCTTACCTTAAGGATATGATGGACAGTTTATAGCAAAGGCTTTACCTTACGTAAGGGTACATGTGGAAACGGGTGTGTGTGGAGGAGAATCTAAACCATTCATGCATTTCCCTTTGGCCTATCAAATTGGAGTTAATTTCTGCATCCATTTTCAGGGTCAGACCATTCATTGAAGGGATTCCTGGTACCAGGAATGTGTATTCATCAATCCAAGTAAAGATCAGCACTTTTTTGCATTGAATGACCTGATCTAAAAGCAAAAATCTCCGATGTGTGACAGGACATAGAGTTTTATTTATTAATGCAAGGAGGATGTGAGCCTTCTAGTCTGTTTTACCAAGTTCCAAGGGACATACAAAAACCCCTTAGATTTCAGTGAAAACCTGGGAACAAACAGTTTTGCAGACTTCCTAATAGAAATGGAGTAGCCACCCAGCTCGGGATATTGCTACAAAAATTGAATGTGTTTCTCCATAACCATCTTGGAACAAAGCTCTGTCTCAAGAGGCTCAGTGGAGCGTTGAGGAGGTGCTGTATCTTAACAGTCCTCTGCAAGGAGAAGAGGACAGGGTAAAAAATGCATAAAGACATTTTGATGATAGCATCTTTTTCTGTACTGAACCAAACCAGCTTAGTAGTAGCTGAGCAGCCTTGTGAGCCAAGTCCTGGAGGCCTGCTTATAACAGGTAAGGAATCCTGGAACACAGGGAGAACATGAGAAAAGGCTAGTTCTTCCTTCTGCACTGATGTGTTGCAAAGCTGTAAAGGTGGGCTACAAAGATGGTGAGGGGCCTAGAACGTCTCTCTTACAAGGAAAGGCTGAGGGACTTGGGTCTTTTTATTCTTTATTTTTATTTTTTTTTTTTTAATCTTTTATTTATTGGATCTGGTCAATGCTTATAAATACTTAAAGGGTGAGTGTCAGGAGGAAGGGGCCCTTCTTTCTTCAGTGGTGTCCAGTGACAGGACAAGAAGTAACAGGTACAAACTTGAACATAAGAAGTTCCATCTAAACATGAGGAGGAGCTTCTTCACTTTGAGGGTGGCAGAGCACTGAAACAAGATGCCCAGGGAGGTGGTGGAGTCTCTGACTCTGGAGACATTCAACACCCATCTGGACATGCTTCTGTGCAACCTGCTCTAGGTGGACCTGCTCTGCAGGGGGTTGGACTAGATAATCTCCAGAGGTTCCTTCCAACCCCATATCATTGTATGATTCTGTGAAATGTGAAAAAAAAACTGCAGTCAATTATTACAAATAGGTGAATTTTTCTAACCTAAGGTTTTTAGCTTAGCTAGCTATGTTTATAATGAGCATATCCTTAATGACTCATGGTCAACACCTCTACAATTTCTGTGTGCTGCTCTTTGTTTTCAGAGCATTCCCCAACTTCATGGACAACTTGATAATGCAGTAATAGCAGACCTGAGAAAGAACACAGTTGTTAATTATTTTCCTACATAATAAATATGTAGTGGTTAATTATTGGAAAAAATTAAATAGGAATTATTGTAAAAATGGAAAAAACAGAATTAATTCTAAAAAGCTGAATTCTTATGTCTTTCTTGATTTGCAGTTTTTAAAAACGAAGATAATGCTCCATAAGACTGTCATTAAAAGACATTATTTGGAAGTTACTTCTAATATATTCTCATTTGTTTCCTTTTATATTCTTAAATACTATTTTTCTGGTCATTTGTTTATTTTTTACAGGCTTATTCCTCCTGTTTTTTCTGCTTGCTCCAATCCAGAGGCTTCCACTGAAACCTTTTTCAAAATGGAGCCATCAGAAACTTCCAGTGGCTGCTTTCTAGCTGTTCTGGAGAGAGAGGTAAGCCAAGAAAAATACCATTTAAAAACATTTCATAGAAAAAGAAGATTGCCATTTTCCCCTACAAGAATATATGAAATGAAAGATTTAAAAAATAAAAAGTCTAGGCTGTTCTGTAGTTTGAATAAAGTAGGCATGACTAAGTCTCCTTCCAAAACTAAGGCATATGCAAATCTGGCTCAAAAGGCAGGGGGCTTTTGCTGAGTAAACGACAAAGCCTTGGTGTGATTCCTGAGGAAGGGCCTGAAAGGGCTCGTTTGCATCTCCGAGCAGTAACATTTTCCTCCATGTCTGAGAAAAGTAGGACTTTTTTCCCCACAAGAGAAAGGAGCTCATTAGAATTTCCTTGAAATTTAAAGATCTGAAATTTAGAGATACTTGGTTATTTGTACCACTTTCTGTCACACTGCAGCAATGCTGCTTGAAAGACGCGTGTGTCTTGGGGAGGATTAGAAGAGGAAGATTTTATTAGAGTAAGAGAATCACACATGAAAAACCTTTCAAGTGACCTATTGTTGACTTTTTTTTCAATGATGTAGAGTATTTTTTAGCCTGGCTGCCTGAGCTGGTAGGCTTCAGCCCTGTCTGCCTTATTCTCTCCCTCCAGAGAGAGGAACAGTTTTGTTTTGGTTAGTTGATTTGAATAATTTTTGAGGCAAATTCTAATGCACAGAAAGAACTGCTCCCAGTTGCACCAAAGGCCAGTTTTTGGGTGACTGTGGAAATGAGCATTTTCTGTGAGGCATAAAAACGTGAACTAAGAAGCATGATTTTAACTGAAATTTCTGGTTTCCAGGTACCTACCCCTCTTTTTGGCCAGTTGTGAAGAGTTTCTTCCCCATTGCTTCTCTTTAGGTAGTTGGATATTGATGTAGTTCCTAGATGAGCTAGTTTGAGAGTTCCTTGCTTGTGTATCACGAGCAAGGAGTTTCATTATCATGAAAAATATTACTGTTTAATGTTATTGATAGGGTTTCTGTATTTTAGTAGTTATTTCTGATACACCTACACATGTATATGCTATTACAGGTACATTCCAGAGCAAGGCAGTGTGGGAGCTGTGTAGGAGTCCAGAATCATGTTTCCCCTCGTCAGGCCTGTAGAGGGTAAAGTCTCTGAGGAGCAAATGCTCAGATACCACTTGTCACAACAGTCACGTTCTTAATTTCTCTAAGAAATAGTTTGTTTATGATGTCACACAGGTCTTCCTGCTGGATTCTGCCATAGGTTTCTCATGGAGTAAATTCTGAGGAATCTGGGATTACAGTATTGAATTGACAGCTCTGTGTTGTGGCTTAGATTTATTGTTTCCTTTGACATTTTCAGAAAGGTTCTTCTGACAATGTGTCTGCTAAAGACATCTTGGCTCGTGCTGCATCAAAAGGACTGCTAGGAGACCTTCTTGTAGAAGAATCCAAGGAAGAGGAGAAAAAGCAACCAAAAGTCACACAATGTAGCAGTGACATCACTGCTGGTGGTACGAAGCCGAAGACTGCAGAGCACCGTCAGGCCGTACCCAACACTAAGGCTGGAGTTCCCCTGCCTAAGGCAGTCAGTAACGTGCAGCAGAAGACCGTGAACCTCTCAAAGAGCCTTCCTTGGCTGAAGAAGCCTCACAAGCTGGTCCCCACCTCAGCTGTGCCCCGGGTGTGGAAGCGCAGGGCTGGCCCGGGCTCTGCGGGCAGGGCGCGTGGGGGACAGGCGCAGGTGGAACGCAGGAGGCTTGCCTTGAAGACTGTGGACATCATCTTACCTCCAGTGACACCAACATACGTAAGTCAGCAAGGGAACCAGCCCAGGACCTCAGCTCAGCCCTGCTGTGCTGGAGCAAAGGGGTGGGGTGGCCGGGGACCTCCCCAGCCTCCGGGTGGGAGGACACTTGCACCACCTCTGACTACAGTGGTCGAGCATCCTCGGCCCTGGCTGTAAGGCTCTGCACACTGTCCTCTGCCTTTATAGAAAGGGTAAAGATTCCTGTCTATATTCATCACTACACTTAGGTTACACTGCATTTTATACGGGATAATCTCGCTGTGGGAAGTAGATATATTACGGGATATTTGCATGGGAATATCCATGTTAGATAGCAATTTTAAATCGGTAATTACACTTTAAAGTGAATGCAGCTCAGCTGCATAAGGCTGATAGACCATTGAGGGGGTGAGATCAAAAAACTGCAGCTTCTCCTGCTAGATACTTTAAAGGGACAAGTTAAAGCATATAGTTTGGGTTTTTTTAACCCCCTCAGGACCTGCATAGATCTGTAGGAATGCTCTATTTCAGTTTGTTTTGTGTTTTTTTAAGTGTCTATTTCTCTTTGCAAGTGCTAGATAACATTTTAGTAAGTTTAGACTGGGACACATAAACCCTGCTCCATAAAGCCAGTTACCTCCCCTTTTTACTTCTAAAACTAGATGTGAAATTGTGTGCAGGTAACGGGCCACCTACGCTGCAGCCCGTGTACGGGCTTTCTGCTGTACTTTCTACTCCCTCCCCTGGGTGTTGAGCAGACACTCAGATGTGTTGCAAAAATAGTAACAATGAAAGCTATATTCTTATGCTTAAAATACTGAATTGTCATCATACTGTTCGTATCAGACCCCGTCGTGGGTCATGGCTGCTTTTCACCAGCTTTCTTAACCCAAGCAGTCTTAGTTGAAAAAAGCTGTGTCTGTCAATGTCAGTTATTTTTATAAATGCTCTTGCGAGTCAGTGGAATAATGACTGAGCACGGAGTAGTTTGTCTTTGGAAACAGCTGTAAATGTCTAACCTCCTCTCTGTTGCTAGTAAATATAAAAATAACTGTTTAAATATCTACAGTTGTCTCGTAATCTGAGCAGAGGATAAAAGGGCCACATAGAGATACTTTTAACAAGAATCTAACTTAGCATTAAATGTGGACAGTATAAAGAAGAAAAAGGGCAAAAAATGACAGAATACTGTAAGAGGAACCTGAAGAACTGTATGTATTTAGGTTATACGTGGTAGAAGTGAAACAAAGACAGCATAGGAATATAAAATGGCGAAGGTAGCCGTGGCCCAGAAGAACAGGAAGCCTGGCTCCTTGTTGCTGCTTCTTTTAGCATTTTACTCTGAGCCAGGGCCATCGCTCACCTGCTCTGCACCCCCGTGAGTAACCCCTGCTCCTTACCTGTTCCGCAACAGCGTGAGCTCCGTCCGCTCTTGTTTCTGAACAAACTCCCAAGGATAGATCTAGACCTGTGCGCATGCAAAAACCCAATCTCTTATTTTATTTCAAAACCATCTTGGAGGAGGAGAGATTCTGCATGTTAGCTGAAAGGAAGGGGCAGTAAGGAGATGTGTGGCTTTTTCAATATGGTTGTTTAACGCTACAGATTCTGCAGTTAGAGAATTAAACTATTTTTTTTTAAATCAAAATCTGCATAGCTAATTTATTAAATGTAATTAAAATTACTTCTAAATGGACATAAATCTGTCCAGTGACAGTTGTTCTGGGCTACTTACGTAAAAGTCCTTATTGGTGTCCCACAGTTGGCCTCGTCTTGCTCTGGGGAGCGTGAAGCGTTTCGGGGGCCGTCCGAGTCCTGCTGTCGCCTCTCCACAACCAGTATGTTTTTCCCTCCCCTCAACCACAATTTGGAAGGAAAGAAATAATTTCCCAGTTTCGTGGACCAGTAACAGCTGAGACAATCATTTTACGCAGCTAAATTTATTCTCAGAACAGATTACATTGAAATGTGGGGAAGTGTCAGCAGCT